GCCTCCAACCTCATAGCGATGGCCTCTAACCTAATAGTGATGGCCTCCAACCTCATAGCGATGGCCTCTAACCTAATAGTGATGGCCTCTAACCTCATAGCGATGGCCTCCAACCTAATAGCGATGGCCTCTAACCTCATAGCGATGGCCTCTAACCTCATAGCGATGGCCTCCAACCTAATAGCGATGGCCTCCAACCTCATAGCGATGGCCTCCCACCTAATAGCGATGGCCTCTAACCTCATAACGATGGCCTCCAACCTAGAAGCGATGGCCTCAAACCTAATAGCGATGGCCTCTAACCTCATAGCGATGGCGTCCAACCTAATAGCGATGGCCTCCAACCTAATAGCGATGGCCTCCAACCTAATAGCCGCGATGGCCTCCAACCTAATAGCCGCGATGGCCTCCAACCTAATAGCGATGGCCTCGAACCTAGAAGCGATGGCCTGAAACCTGAAAGCGATGGCCTCCAACCTGAAAGCGATGGCCTCCAACCTAGAAGCGATGGCCTCCAACCTAGAAGCGATGGCCTCCAACCTAGTAGCGATGGCCTCCAACCTCATAACGATGGCCTCCAACCTAGAAGCGATGGCCTCAAACCTAATAGCGATGGCCTCTAACCTCATAGCGATGGCGTCCAACCTAATAGCGATGGCCTCCAACCTAATAGCCGCGATGGCCTCCAACCTAATAGCGATGGCCTCCAACCTAATAGCCGCGATGGCCTCCAACCTAATAGCCGCGATGGCCTCCAACCTAATAGCGATGGCCTCGAACCTAGAAGCGATGGCCTGAAACCTGAAAGCGATGGCCTCCAACCTGAAAGCGATGGCCTCCAACCTAGAAGCGATGGCCTCCAACCTAGAAGCAATGGCCTCCAACCTAGTAGCGATGGCCTCTAACCTCATAGATGGCTTCCAACCTAATAGCGATGGCCCCAAACCTAATAGGGATGGCCTCCAACCTAGAAGTGATGGCCTCCAACCTAATAGCGATGGCCTCCAACCTCATAGCGATGGCTTCCAACCTGATAGCGATGGCCCCAAACCTAATAGCGATGGCCTCCAACCTAATAGCGATGGCCTCTAACCTAATAGCGATGACCTCCAACCTCATAGCGATGGCCTCCAACCTAATAGCGATGGCCTCTAACCTAATAGTGATGGCCTCTAACCTCATAGCGATGGCCTCCAACCTAATAGCGATGGCCTCCAACCTAATAGC